TCTGTTTCCGCGGAAGCATATGAGAACTTATATCTCGTCTTGTCAGATTTTCTCCCCCTCTTGCTCTCATTTTGGGAGAAGAGTGGTTTATCAGGTACCTCCACTCTTTCTGATAGAATTTAGTGACACCTTGTCATCAGTAAATGTATGTGGCAGATTTGCAATGTGTTGCAAATATATGATTCTCTAAACTTCTAGTTCAGATTCTTTGAGTACACGGATATAAGGATTGAATGTGAATAACATTTCTAATTTATTTCTCGGCATTCTTTATGGTACTTACCTCCCCCTAATGCCGAAAAATATCCTTATTGCTGATGCAGTCAGCATACGGGCTATGAATAATTTTGATTGACGATTAAATTGTTATTCCTCACATAGATCCCTAATTTTCGTGAGTGCCCATTGATGTACGCTGGAGTGGTGATATCGGTATGTAACCGAATTATCGCAGGTGGGAAATACTTTTTTGATTTCCACGTAGTAACTACAAGGGGAAAGTAGTATGATATGCAGTTGGTATGATTTAGAACATACTTACGGTGTGTAAGGCCGTATGTGTCCAGCAAGAGGCCGGTGAATTTACAATTCTTTAAAAGTGGTCATGTAATTCATTTAAATCTCTTTGATAAGAAATTTAGCTAAACCATTCTGGGTATGTACATAAAGTACTTAATGCAAAAAATGCTCATTGAGTGAGTTCAACAACATTGTTCATTTGAATGGGTTTATAGATCCTGTTTTCAGGAGAATTTGCTCTTACTTTGATAAGTTGAGCAATTTTTTTAGTAAGATCATGCATGGTTGTGTGTGATAAGAGACACACTTAAAAACATTTTATGAATGTGTATATGAGTACCATGAAGTATCTAAATTACCCTAGATAATGGTTAAGCAATCTAGACATATCTTTTGAATGTGTTCAAGGAAGAATAAGTGTCATGCTTAGAATTTTAAGGTGAGAGTGCCTTAAAACTTATTTCCCCTATGGCACATGTGGTGCGCATATAATCTGATGATCTGGGGAATATTTTTGCAATTTGTTAAGTTGTGACCAACCGAATTGTCAACAATTTTCTAATTATCCCCAAACCAGGATGGCTAAGGCTATCAAGCCTAATATTTAATTTATTAATACTTAGAAAATCATTGTGTACGAAACAATATTGAGTATGAATTGGAAAATACATTCAACTTTATCGAATATTGTATCCAATGGATATGATATTGGACATTTTACTACATGTAGTAGTACAAGTATGGGCTAATGATATATTGGGATAATTAGGAGATTACCTGAGGTCTCCGATATTTTTGAGTGCAAATGTTTTCATCCTCCATTTTCTGCACTAGACTTTGTTCCTCCTTCTGATGAAGATTCTGAGAACAATCCTTTACCAGAATTTTATTGTTATTTGCAAATTTGCAAATTTATCCCATTTAACTTATTGGCCTTTTAAAATTTATGGTGTGGTTTGACCATATGTTTGAGGGTTTGGTAATCATATGTACGATGTTTGTATAGCCACACATTTGACAAACTGGATATTTGTCTTTGTGATCATTTGAAAACGATATATTCCCTATTAAGAGGTAATTTTGTCTTTTATCCTACACTTTACTTTGAAATCCTCGTGGTTCATTTTTGAGACCACTGACTTGCATAGTATTCTCAGTACTAGCAAATATTTTAAATAATGATATATCACCTGTTGGGTGGATCTGATGATTTTAAGAAATTATATATTTCTTCATCATGGAAATTTGTAGTACCATCATAAGAGGATGTAAAGTGTATTTAAGGCATATGAAAATATTGACCATGAGATCTCAACTTGAGGTTGATTAAGTGACAGAACTGTGAGCTGCGATGACTTGAAGTCTTGAAAAACGAATGGGTAATCATTTGCGATATGCTCAAGGCATCATGTTTATATTAAGGGAAATATTCAGGGTGAATAGAATGTCATCCATTATGTACTTAGTTTGAGATCTAAGTGAAGTTGGGACACATAAAATGCATATGAGTGTTGCAACTTTAGAGTCACCGCATTGCATGTATGACATTTGTTAGTCACTGTGAAAGTTTAACCATAATGTGATGTGGACATTGCAAAAGTGTTGAGACACTCAATCGTTGCCATAATTATGCAATCCATCTTGATGGACGGACAACCCTATAATTATAAATAGTGACATAGGCTTCACTGCCATGTATTTTACCAATGTAATAGACGGTAATCACTAGTATATGCAAATATTTGCATAGTTTTCTGTGACATATTCAAGCAAAATGAGGCTTGAATAGTTGATATTAGCACACAATACCATTTTGGTAGATAGCGAGTGTGCAAGAACTATATTTACTATGAGAGCAAATCATTTTAGTGAACAACAACAAATGCTTGTGAGGAGCAAATTTTATTGGGGTCTTATGTGTATACCACAAATTAAATAGATAACACTTTGAAGATAATCACCAAATGCGGTGTAGATCTCACAGTAATAGAAAACGTAGTCTGACTTTTCCCAGTAGATGTTCATATCTCTATTACCTTATGTTATGCTAAATTTATGAAATCACTTTGAAGGTAATCATCTGTCAGAGTGACATGATGTAGACCTTACAGTAATAGTGGATAGTCTACAAAATTTTGCAGTAGATGCTAGTGTTACCTTATGATATCTTGAGGGTAGTCACAGCTAATATTGATATTTGGAAGAGCACTTTGAAGGTAGTCATCTTGTTGGTAACAAGATGTAGACCTCACAGTAATGATGGATAATCTTCAAACGGTGCAGTAGATGCCACCAATACCTTGTGATTCACAAATAAAATTTGGGCATGTCATATGAAGTATGACAATTTATAATTCTTATTTGAGTTTCATTAAGATTTGCAAGAAAAATTGTTTTCGACTGCAAAAATATAGTTGTCCTAAAATCACATGTCATATAGAATGTTTGCGGTAAAAACATAATTGATGTCTTAAATTACAGAAAAATAGGATCTGAAATATAAGCAATACATTCTTTTGCAGTGGTATTGCCATTAAAAAAATGATGTATAGTTATTTTATGTAATTTAGGATGAACTGAGGTTCTCCCACGTGTGTTTTCTAAAACCGAGGGCTTATAGAATACAAATAGTAATAACCTGATGGTTAAAGTGCTAAAACAGAGGGTTGTACTACAAATCGCAGGAGTATAGACAACTTGAGAGTTGAAGTTGAGCGCTATACTGCATGATGAACTAAGCCTGAGGGCTTAACAGAAATTACAGGGACCTTTTTGTAGATAACAGAAACTTAAATGCTTAAACTAAAAGATAACCTAGAGGATAGAAATCCCCAATTTCTCACGTGCGGCTGAGGATTATCATCCACCGCCGCGCTACTGGGAAGCGTTGCATTGGTTGGCCCGCCTTGTGCCAGAGGAAGCCGCGCACTGGGCCAAAATCGAGTAGGCAGGCCATGACTGAGAGGGAGCGCGGGGATGGAAGGTGATGCGCGGGTGGAGTCGACGTGGCTTTGGTACACGTGCGGCCGGAGTCGAGGCGATGCCGCCGCATGCCGGAGGGCTTCGCCGCGTGCTCTTACCCGCCAGTCTGGGTCGCTCCACGAAAGGCTGCACACCGGAGGGTAGCGCCGAGCGCCGCTACATGAAGTGGGATGCTGATGCGGTCCGGTTCCTAAGTGCCTTCAACAAGTACTGTTGTTGTGGCGTGGCCGGTGCCCACGGCGCTGATTTCTGGTTGAACATGATTATGTACTACGAATAAAATTGGGATCATAGCACCTGATAGGTATTGCGATCAAGTACTTTGATCGTAAGCTTCATGTGAGAAGTAGTCCAGGACGCGTAGACTTATTCATGTATGTGTATCCTTTTGCTTCGGAGTTCCTTTTCTATTCTTGTCCTGTTTCCTGGACTGGTCGCCTTGGTTAGAAAAAAGGGGTAAATGTGACGCCTAGTTCTTGCATGCGCGGCGCGCTGGTTGAGAAGTGCGGCGTTCATGCACTGGTCTGGAGTGCTGCGCCGTGAAGGCCATTCGACTGTCTTGTCGTACCCAGGACGGCAATTCCTGATAGTCAAGAACAAACATTAGGTAAATCGCACTAGCATATGATGTATCATAGCAATTAGATTAAAATCGCATTTGGTTTGGTGCGATTCTTCCGTGCTGCTCCCAGGTGTTGATTCCGACAGAATCGTTAAGTTGCTATTTATCTGTTCTTCTAGACCCTGATTGTGAGGCGATCCCTCTTGTGTAATCTCTTTCCTTGTGTGTGGCTAAATCGCTCGATCGGAGAGCAAAAGTGCATGATAACATGTTTAAAGTAGAAAATAAAGAAAGAGAGAGTTTGAATGAAAGATGATTCATCAGTCTTTATTGATGATAGAAATGGGCTATTTATACCCAGGCGAAAGTACACATGATGCTTGGCGGTCAAGTAAGCACATAGTTACTTGAGAGTCAAGAAATTACATAGTTGCCTTGAGAGTCAAGGAAGTACATAGTTGCTTGAGAACTAAGCAACCTATCTAACAATTAACTTAATCCTAATTAGCTTAATTGTAAGCAACTATTCTATTCTTAACAAGATACACGTCCAGTTCAACAGGTCATTGGATTCCTGCTTGTCCCCGGACCCCATCAGCAGCAGTACTAGTAAATTCAAATCGGCCACGCACTCCAACAAGTTTGCAAAGGCAAAGGCCACAGCTCCAGCACCGCAAAAGCCACAAAAGCCCTGCACAACTCCGCATGCCAGCTCGCTACGTGCCGAGGTGCTCCCCCTCCACGTGCCGACTCCCGTGTCCTTTCTCCACGCTTCCCGACTTCTTATAGCGCGAATGGCGGCTCCTGAATCCTGATCACATCGTCTCTCACATCCCCATCCCTATCGCCTTGCTACTACTTCGGGCCCGAGCACGAAGCCATTTTTGCATCTCCGCGAGCGACTTGAGAGGCTGAGATCGGCCTTGCGGCGTAGGGGATGAAGCGGCTGCTCGTTCATGGCGGGAGGGCAATCGGCTGCCCCTCCAGGAGCGCCGTGGAAGATCCCACCGCCCTGGCCGCGCTTGGCAACGGCGTTCTACTGCCCAGGGTGAGCTCACGCAGCACAACTGCCCTTGAGTTTCTGAATTCTGAGTTTCCTGCCTTGCCTTCTTCGGCGTTTCATTCATCTGGCAGCGCCACACTATTCTAGGAATCTTCAGAAGTAGTAGTACCACTACCATGTAGCAGAGCGATCTACTGTTGTGAGTTTGTCCAAGTGGTAGTGTATTCTTGCATGGTGAATTGCAGAGGTAGTACTGAACTACTATGTGAGAGATGTGATGTAAAAAGACTGCTAAACTTCTAGGAAATCAGAATGTTTAAGAAGGCAGAACAGTCGGCAGGGCAGTGCATATGAATGATGTAGAGAAATGTTCAGGTGGCAAGTCGAATGTGCAGGTGTTCAAGTCCAGTGTACATACTACTACAGGGTACATAGTGGTACATCTGACAGTGTGTTCTATAACCTTTCTCTTTTTCATGTGATTTTCCCAGTACCACTCGACAGAGAAGCACGACGACAGTGACACGCTGGGCGAAATCGGGGAGAAGGCAAGAACGACGGCGGAGGAGTTCCTGAAGATGGCCAAGGAGAAGACCGACGACGTCGCGGAGGGCGCAAAGGAGACGGTGCAGGAGACCCAAGGAAGCGGTGCTCGGCGAGTCGGACGACGAGAAGGACAAGTTCAAGCAGCGGGTCGAGCAGGGGAGGTACCATCAGAAATAAGCGGGAGGTGTTCCCTTTGCTGTATGCTCGCGTGCGTGCAGTCATGGCCTGCCCAAAGCCATTAGCTCTGCAGTTTGTATGTCAACCACTAGGCTTGGAGTAAGGTGCTACTGTATGTGTAATGTTTCTTCCCCCTTCAGTTCAGTGGCCTTCAGCACTGCAATGTGATCTTGGTGCTATACAACTTGCCACTTCCCGCAGAATAAATAATATTGAGCTTCTGAATTATGTATTTTTCTTCTCGACTGAACTTGGATGCACTTTGCAAGAATGTCACAGGATGTGTAAAGCTCTGGTGTGGAGAGTAACTGAAAAGATACATGCAGCAGGGGATAATGCACTGTGACTTGACTATCAGATGGGCAGATGACGATGGCTCATAACTAATCTGGTTTGCACTTTGTTAGTCACGAATCCATCATGTCAACAACGCCGTTTAGGTGAAATCGTGTCCTTGCCAATGTTCTTCCAGCGAAATAGGAGTTGATGCACTCCACATCGGCAAGCAGCTGGACTGCTAGAGCCTAGAGGATGGTTAGTCAGTGTGCATATGTTGTCCTGTTTTGCTTACCTCGTGTGTGACATGAACTGCTTACATGATTGGGTACTATATAAATGAATTGGTACACGACTGAAGATGACAGAAATAGGTAGTTGTACCAAAGTGAAAAATTGGGTGACTCTACAAGCATTATCATACAAAACGTTTCTCTTTAAACTTTAATTAAATTGGTTGCTCATATGGGCTTTCTATGAGCATCAAGTGCTTTTAGCATCTTTGTTATCTAGTGCACATGCATTCTAAATCCTTTACCGTTCGGATTGCACTCACAGACTCACTGACGTTCACCATCTCAGTAGTTGAATGGTCACTGGGTTTATTCTTCTGAGTTGAACTTTCGAGTAATGTTCCATATAGAGGGACAAGCATGCAACTATTTTAGACATTTCTTCTGAATCCCACCATCTCTAAAAATGTCTGCAGCTCTACGGAGCTTGGTACTTTGTCCTTGACAAGCCATTTCTGAAATCTTAGAGCAAGTACGTTTATGTAAAGCTGAAACCGTGCTACTATGCTGATACAGTACCGTTTGAATTGCCCACAGAAATGAAATTTCCACATCAGTTTCTCAGTGTTAAATATCTTTGTGTTGAAACAGAAGTGGACGAAAAATGAGGTCATTTCATCTGTGAAGGACGAAATGGAACTATGCAACTGTACTAGATGCAAACTCCCATATACTGACCTTTCCACCATCACATGGCTCTGCAGCATCTACTCAGAATTCAGATAACAAAACCAAAAAAAACGTTGAACTGAAATTTGCCGGAGGTGGCAGCCCGCAAACCTGAAGATCACGCACCAATCAGGCATCTGCTCGCGAGCGTGAGTGGACGAAACTAATCAGCAGCAAATTTCATCGGATCGATCGAGAACAGGACACAAGGAAGAAGAAAGAACCAATCAATAAGCAGAGATCTAAAACGATCGCTGATCTACTACGTGGTGGTGCAAAGCCTGAATCGAAGAACGGCAAAAACTATATGTACACAACCAATTAAACGACGCAAGAAACCAACAGATCGGCCGATCGATCGATCGGCGTTCCATCCATCCATTCCATCCTCCAGGGATCAGCCGAGCCTGGCTGCCTAATACCCGGCGGCCGCGTCGTCGCCGGCGCCGGCGGCGCCCTGCTTCTTCTTCTGCACCTTGCCCTTGATCCACTGGAAGCCGTGCGCGGTGCCCTCCTTCACCTTCTTCAGCCCCGTGGCCGCGGCCGCCTTGGTCTTCTCCACGCCGCCCTGCTTCTTCCCGCCGGCCCGCGGGGCCGGGTCGCTGCCGTAGTCCCACTGGTCCGCCCACGACGAGCCGAACGAGTTCTTGCGCTCCATCAAAGACGATCTCGATCAAGAGACGAACAAAAAGCTTCTCCTGCGGTCAGTCGGGGCGAGAATGGCGGGGCTTTATAGGGGCATGCGCGGCCCCGCTTCGGGCAACCAATCAACGGGACGGGATCGTCCCTTCCAGAAGGCACGCGTGGGAGGAAACGTACGCGTAGTCATGGCCGGATACGTCCGGGATCGGGACCGGGACGCGGTGGTCTCGCTGGCTGGCTGCTTGGTTGGCTCTCCTTCCCGCGGCGCTGCATGCCAGTTTTGACCGGCGTCGCTCACGACGGGGGCTGCGGTCCACGTCCATCCATACGGCCCGGGCTGCGAGCCCGAAGCTTCCAGCCACGGAGATTGAAATGTTGGTTCTGCTGAATGAAATGTTTTTTTAACTGATTGAAATGTTGGTTATTGTTACTGTCGGACGAAATTACAGCCGGGTCGCGTGCGTGCGTGCGTGCAAGACCGATGTCGTGAGACCGTGACCTCCCCTTTGTTTTAGCGGACGGGCGGATGAACCGGTCGCCTGATTTGATCCGTTCAAGAGAGGATTGCTCGCTTGTTTGGCTTGTCACGGCAGCAAGTGCCTGTCGTGGCGTTTAGAATTAAGCTTCGAATTGGCCCATTTGGAGTCGCGGGATTAGTTTTTTTGGGTGGAGATCGGGTTGACCAAGTTATCCAAGGAGTTTAAGGTTCATCGACCAGTGAGCATCTAGGAGTGCCGGTCGTCTTCTGGACAGGATCTCCCTTCTTGCTCTTTTTTTCTTATTGCAAATCAAGAGCTTTATTTATTTATTTTAGCTGAACCAAGACCTTAATTGATATTCCATAAAAAAGAGAGCTTAATTGATACGAATCATTCAGGGCTACTCCCTCCATTCCAAAGTAATTGCAGACTTGAAGTTCTAATATTGTCCTAACTCAAACCTAATCAAGCTTGATAAAGTCAATATAAAAATATACCAACATCTATAACACCAGATTTGCTTCACTACATTCACTGTGACATATATTTTCGTGTTATATTCATTGTGCACTCCTTGCTCAACCACCCAACCAAACCAACACGTGAGCGTTCGATACACAAAGCTAGGAAGCCAACATTGGGAGAGTAGACTTTTCCTATTTTTCTCGTTCATGCTTGTCCGGTCTGGGTTGGTAGGTATTCTGGTGGACGTCAACTGTACTTTGGAATTGCCAAAGGAAGTCGTGAGGTTATACTAATGCGTGCATGGACCAAGTGGACGGGCGACCAAACAAACTATTAACAAGGCATAGAATTTCCCCCGGCAGTACCTCAAAATTCTCTCTCCCGCACAGGACAGACGCCCGCCGGGATCCTGAGGGGTGTTTGGTTCCAGAGACTTTTTTGTGTTGGGATTAAAAAAAGTCCCTAGCAAACCAAACAGGGTGAGACTTTTTTGCTAAAAGTTTTTAGAAGCACCTTCTTGAGAATCTTTTTTAAAAAGTCTAGAGACTAGAAAAAGTTCTAAGACTGGAAAACCAAACACCATCTAAGTCGCTGTTGCTGATAGCCTGATACGGCACCCAGAGTCCAGCCCTCACCAACAGCAGCAACTACCGTTTGGCCGGACAGAGGTTACAAAATTAGTGTATGCCATTCTCACGCTAGGGAATTTGACACTGAAAAAATAAACCATGTGATCCGTGTAATCTACTGTATTATTCTGTAAACTAAAATATCAATGGCAGTAGTATGTACAGAAGAATCTACCCAAAAATATCAATGACCAATCGAACTAGCAACTAGCAATCGTGGCACAGCCTGCAGAGACGGACGTGACGTGACCGTCACGGCGGCGGGCAAAAGGACCAGGCGTTCTACAGTGACAGTGGGAGCAGCAGGCCAACCGCCACAACTACCGCAACGAACCGGCTGCCCGGGCGGGAGCCGGCGGCGGCGCTGCTGTCCATCTCCCGGCTGCTCGTCGACGGCGACGTCGGCGCCACGCCCTTGAAGTCGGGGTTGGTCCCGTACATGCTCTGGATCCCCTGCACGTCGTCCGCCTCCAGGTCCACCTTCCTCGTCCCCGTCCTGATGGTCGGGTACATGATGGCGCCCTGCACCGACGAGTGCCCCAGCCCCAGCAGGTGCCCGATCTCGTGCACCGCCACCGACTCCAGGTCCACCGCGCCGGGGCTGGAGGACGCGTCGCCTTGGCCGTCGGCGACCCATGCCTCCGCGGCGTCCAGGTGGAACCGCCCGTCCGTCGGCGAGAAGGCGTGCGCCAGCGTGCCCAGCGGCCCGTCGAAGGCCTCGCCGTCGCCGTGCGCCCCCGCGTAGAACCCGATGGTGATGTCGGCGTCGGCCTCGGACGCCGTCTCCGCGAAACGCAGCGTGGTGGCCTCCGACCACCGGGCGAAGGCGCGCGCGAAGACGGCGCTCAGCGTCGCCCGGTCGATGGACGTCGCCGCGGCCGCGGTGATCGCGTACCGCAGCTCGCGCCGGAACGGCGGCCACATGGGCCCGCCGGGGAAGTAGGTGTAGAGGTGCCGGCCGTGTGCGCCGCCCGCGGACGACGCGTTCCGCCGGTCCATGGTGGAGGTGCCGTTGACGACGTCGGGCACGCCGCAGCGCGGGGCGACCATCTGGGACACGGTGGGCGGGTCGAGGAACCCCGTCGCGTTGAGGCCGAAGTTGCGCTGGTACGTGGCGATGGCCGCCTCCAGGTCGGCGTCGAACGCGTCGCTGAAGGGCGACGAGGACGGCGCCTCCGGGAGGTACCCGAAGTGGCTCAGGTAGCCCTTGAGCCGCGCGAGCCCGTCCCGCTCGTCGCCCATGTGGCAGCCGGAGAGGTTCTGGAACGCCAGCCACGGGTTCGGGAACGGGGGCTCCGCCTCCGGCAATCCGGCCACCGGGAAGGCCGCCACCGGCGACGACGCGACGAACACCATCGCCGCCGCCATGGCAGCAACCAGCAGCAAGACAAGGGAAGGAGAACCCGACTCGCCCATTGCTAGTCGATGAAGTCTTTCTGCAGATGAGATGAGCAGACGATCGAAGCAAGAGAAGCAGGCTGCTGTCGCGTAAGCTTTAAGGCTGGGTCGCGAGCGAGCAGCTCGGTCAGCATGGCCGAGAGGCGGGAAACGTCCGCCCCGCTTGGGTTCCAACGAAATGTCCGAGTTGGTGTGTGCTTTTCCAAAGGTTTGGTTGGGTCAAGCATGGATGATGGATATGTGGCCTTGTGTTCGCCGCATGTTGCTGTCAACCGGTCGGGTGTCGACATGACAGATGACGGCTTCAGGGTTGGAAGCAACGGCAACGCCTTGTGCTCTCGATCGAGCCTTGACTAGCTATCCGACAATTGAAGCAGCTTCCATCAGATTGATCCCGAGGATCCGAGGCTGAGGTCATGCAAGCTTTGGATTGGATATCATCTCGTGTGGAGATTTATCGGATGGGAAAAAAGGGGTCATTTCTTGCTAACTTTGCACCGGCCAGGAGGCAGACGAAACATGCGTCTTTGAATCGGCAACTCGTCAATCAGAGATCGGTAGCGATGCCTTCTAGTTCCACTGCTAGGTGTGTGCAGGTGACCAACCCCTCCTGCTCTAGATCACAAAGCGGACGACGGTTGAAACTTGAAAGATAGAGATGGGTGAGTGGGAACGCAGGCGGATCGGCGTTCCATAGCCAGATGCTTTTTTTTGCTGATGGGTGCTTTATTAGCATGACATGAGCAACTCTTGAGGCACTTTCAAAAAGACTGAATTATTGCAGCTTTCTAGTAACAGACTGATTAAGATAAGCCATGTTGTTGTTAAATGGGAAAGGAATGGTTCTGTCGTAGCAGCATACGAGAAGGTCGTCGTGGATTTTTCTGCGTGAACCCCTTGGGAGGCCCCTCAAGTCGAACACCTTGATTCGGCCGAAAGTGCCATGATAATGACGTATCTAGAAGGTCGTTTACCCGGTGGGCGGCACACAAATATCCAAAGCATGAACGGATAACCGTGCAAAGAAGAAAAAAAACGATCGAAGAGGCCACACGGCCCCATTTTCATTACGAAAATCGAGTCGCGACACAAGCCGAGTTCCGTTACTGGTAAATTGTCATGCCAACTCCATCGCACGACCCCAAACGAACGCCCGATTTGGCCGGATTTTGTCCTTTTGGGACGGCAATGGGTTCGCCCATGTCCGCTTCTGTCCGTTGGGTTGTGGGTACGCCCAACACGCGGCCGTACCCCAAATCATGTCGGTGTTGGACGTGATTAAAAAAAACAGAAAAACTTAAATAAAATGACTAAAAAGGTAAATAAACGTAGTTAAAAAAACTTAAAACATAAATTAGGGGTCAAGGCCACAAAACGGCCCAGTTTCACGGTTCACTTAAACGGCCCAGTGCCATAATTAACATCAAAACAAAATTAAAAAATGCCGTCCACGCGCTCCTGCCACGCCCGTTGATGCCGGGGCCGTCGCCGTCTTCAGTGGCCGCCAGTGTCGTCGTCGTCACTGACGAGGTCGACGTGGTCCGACGGCGTCCAGAGGTGGGTCGGCGGTCCGTGGTGCATGTGGGCGGGCTGGAAGGTGGCAGGTGCCTGCACCACCTCCTCCCGTGGCGAGGCGTCCCGCTCCAGTGACCGCGGCGGCATGGGGCACCCGTTCACGCCCCCCACGGCGTCCACCATCTCCGGCCTCCTCCTTTTTCACGGAGCCGCGGCAGCGTCCCGACGAGGAGCCAGTCTCGCGGTCGTGCTTCCCCTTGCGGGCGTAGTTCCAGAGGCCCATGGCTGTGTAACGCTCACGATGCGGCTATATCTCCCACGTGTCGAAGCACGACTTAGAGGCATAACCGCATTGTAAGCAATGTCGCAAGTGAGGTAATCTTCACACAACCCATATAATACATAAGGGAAAGAGATACATAGTTGGCTTACAATCGCCACTTCACACAATACATGAATAAAGCATTACATCATCCAGATACAATCAAGGTCCGACTACGGAACCAAAATAAAAGAAGACTACCCCAAATGCTACAGATCCCCGATCGTCCCAACTGGGCTCCACTACTGATCAACTGAAAACGGAACAACACGATGAACAAGATCTTCATCGAGCTCCTCCTTGAGCTTGGTTGCATCACCTGCACTGTTCAACGGCACCTGCAAGCTGGTTTTGGAAGTATCTGTGAGTCACGGGGACTCAACAATCTCACACCCTCGCGATTAAGACTATTTAAGCTTATAGGTAGAGAAAAAGGTATGTGAGGTGGAGCTGCAGCAAGCACTAGCATATATGGTAGCTAACATACGCAAATGAGAGCGAGAAGAGAAGGCAATGAACGGTCGAGAAACTATGATTAAGAAGTGATCCTAGAACAACCTACGTCAAGCATAACTCCAACACCGTGTTCACTTCCCGGACTCCGCCGGAAAGAGACCATCACGGCTACACACGCGGTTGATGCATTTTAATTAAGATAAGTTTCAGGTTTTCTACAACCGGACATTAACAAATTCCCATCTGCCCATAACCGCGGGCACGGCTTTCGAAAGTTCATAACCTTGCAGGGGTGTCCCAACTTAGCCCATCACAAGCTCTCACGGTCAACGAAGGATATTCCTTCTCCCAGGAAGACCCGATCAGGCTCGGAATGCCGGTTACAAGACATTTCGACAATGGTAAAATAAGACCAGCAAAACCACCCAGATGTGCCGACAAATCCCGATAGAAGCTGCACATATCTCGTTCTCAGGGCACACCGGATAGGTCAAGCTACGAGTAAAACCAGCCCTCGAGTTGCCAGAGGTGGCCCCGCAGGCTGCCCATTTCGGACCAACACTCAGAGGAGCACTGGCCCGGGGGGGTTAAATAAAGATGACCCTTGGGCAGGCCTACCCAAGGGAAAGAAAAGGCTAGGTGGCAAATGGTAAAACCAATGTTTGGCCTTGCTGGAGGAGCTTTATTCAAGGCGAACTGTCAAGGGGTTCCCATTATAGCCCAACCGTGTAAGGAACGTAAAATCCGGGAACATAACACCGATATGACGGAAACTAGGGTGGCAAGAGTGGAACAAAACACCAGGCATAAGGCCGAGCCTTCCACCCTTTACCAAGTATATAGATGCATTAATTAAATAAGAGATATTGTGATATCCCAATAAAATATCCATGTTCCAACAAGAAACAAACTCCAATCGTCACCTGCAACTAACAACGCTATAAGAGGGGCTGAGCAAGCGGTAACATAGCCAAACAACGGTTAGCTAAGACAAGGTGGTTAGAGGCTTGGCTTAACAATATGGGAGGCATGATAAGCAAGTGGTAGGTATCGCAGCATAGGCATAGCAAAAGAGCGAGCATCTAGTAAGCAAAGATAGAAGTGATTTCGAGGGTATGGTCATCTTGCCTGAGATCCCGCAAGGAAAAAGAACGAGTCCATGAAGAAGACAAACGGACGTAGCCAACGTATCCTCACAAACACAACGTTACCGGATTACCGAGAAGAAGTACACAGGAAAGAAAGCAAACAACATAGTAAACAAACATCACATAAGCATGGCACGATGCGCAGACAAGTATGATGCATGTCCGGTTTAATGAGGCGTGGCATGGCAAAGTGCACAAACAACCCTACAAATTAAGTGGAGCTCAATATGCAACTCCGTTGCATATTGACGAAACACCACGTTACATAATTTAGTTCGATCTCGTTATGTACCCAACAATTATTAAATGTTCTTAACATGGCAAGGGGTGAAACACAACAAAACTACCTATCTAGGCAAGTTTAAATGAGGTCAGAAACAACAAAACAACAAGTCCGGAAACTCCTCATGTGCATATTTTAGGTTTGGCACTGATCTGCCCTAAGCCATATTTTAGAGTTGTTAAACATGCAAAGCAATGCCACCATGTTAAACTAGGCAAAATTCTACCCCATTTACATATAAAGTTTATTAGATTTGGAGATACGGTTATTAAGTTATGAAATAAATCATTTTAACAAGTTATTTAAGCAAATTTAAACAAACATCATTTTATACATTTTAAACATGGATGAAAATGACATATTATGAAACTACACAAAAATCTAAGCAACTTTAATATAGTTTGTTTTTATATGATGCACCGTTTGTGAGTTATTATATGCATGAACAATAAGGGGTTTTCTGTAAAACTGGCAAACACTGGATAAATAGCAAAATCATAGCAGCAGGGAAAAACACTACATGGGCTGAAACTGAGCAGAGGTCCAACAGAACAGAAAAAAAAAGGAGGCGCTGGTGGTGGCCTCACCATGGGCCTCGGCCCGGTTCAGTGGAGGAGGAGGTAGGCCGCGAAGGGGCAAGCTGGGCCTGGAGGCGCGGGATGTGGCCCACGCGGTCGCTCGCACGCTCGACCTAGCGACGCAGGCAGCAGCGGGAGAAGCAGGGGTGCAGGTCAACGCACGCGGCGCGACGCGGCAGGAGCTCCGACAAGGCGGTCTCGGCGGGGACCGATCAGAACGGGACTGGGGCGGCGGGATCCGGCGGATCTGGGCACGGGGATGGAGCTCCAGTGGCGCGACGGGAAGCTTCGGGCAGCCATGGCGTTGGGTGCTCTCCTGTGTTGAGAGACAGAGAGCGAAGCGTGAGGGAGGGAGGGAGGGAGAAACGACAGTGAAGAAGAAAGAGAGAAAGGAAGGAGGCAGAGGAGCTGTGGCTTGGTACAACGAGCGAAGAAAGAGGAACGGGCGCTGGGATCTCCGATGGTTGCTGCTGCTTGCGGCGGCACCTGAGGCAAGCCCCTCAGGCACGAGCAGGAGGGAGGAGTGGCGCTGGTGCGAGCTTTGAGGCTAGCGAGGTGTTCGTCTCCTTGAACGCGGCGAGGAGGAGGCGGCGCCTGTGGTCGAAGACGACAGGAAGAAGCCTGGCTCCATGGGGCTTGAGGACGCTACTGGAGAGGTGGAGTGATGGATCGGTGGTGGTTTGCCAAAGGGGATCTGGGAGGATCCCAAGGTGGGA